GATCTACCTGTCTCTGCCTCCCCAAGTGATGAGATTATAAGCACGAGCCACTGTACCCAACTTCTTGTTTTCTTCCTTTGTAATCCTCCCTGTCCTGGAAGTCACTCTGTAGACCAGGCTTGACCTCAAATTTTACATCCTCTTGCCTTTGCTGCTTTGATGGGACTGATATAACTTTTCTTTAATCTGAAAAACTTCCTTTAGCATTTTTTATAGTCCAGGCCACCTACAACATATTCTTTTAATTTCCCATCTAAGAAATACCTTTATTATATATTACAGATTTAATTTCATGTGCAAGAGTATTTGCCTATGTATGCATGTGTATCACACATGTGCAGTGCCCACAGAATCCAGAAGAGAGCATTCTTCCTCTGCAAGAACCACCAGGGCTCTTGAACTGCTAAGCCACTTCTCCAACCCCTTGATTTTATTTTTATCTTCCATTATTTAATATAGACTTAAAGGTTAAAGGTGAGCATGGTGGTACATCCCAGCACTTGAGAGGTGGAGGCAAGAGAGAATAAAATATTTCCCTTGGGTTATTTTATCTGGTGAAATTTTTTCATCTTATATGTCTGAGACCTCAGAGCTCATAAGCCTTTCATAATGATCAGATAAGTATAGTCCAGTAATATGATTCATGAGAAATGCCTATTTGGGCTTCCTGGAAGATGCTGAAAGGGTATACGGAGTAGTCATGTAGTAGTCACAAAGCACTGCTTGTCATCCTGGATATCAAAGACTGAAGAATTTTTGGATGGCAACTACTCTGTGCTTTGTCATCGTAGTTGTGGAAGAATCTGATACTTCCTTGCATGAATGTGTTGACAGCTGAAAGCCTGCCTATGGTATCTTCTTCTGCAATCAACTGTGAACTGTAGTGTTACCAGTTTTTGAACCCATTGAGTCCTAACCAATCACCACTCAGCCTGGGAGTGGTCTCCAGATCTCTGACACCATTTCAAGGTTACTTTTGGACATATTCTAGTAGGTGACTGGCTGCCAAGCTATTTTAGCCAATTAATGTATTTCATAGATTAGGAAGCCTATGATCATTTTGTCTTCAAAAAGCTTTTTTCTCTGGTCTGCTGTGGAAATCCTACTGCATAATCTTTTGATTATTCCACAGCCTTGTTCTTCAGGTTGTGTAATTCACTGTTTATCATCAAATTCACAGATTCCTTCCTCTATCGTCTCCGTTTTGCTATTATGGCCACTTAGTGAGTTTCAAATTCCAGATGTTACATGATTCCAGGGTTTTCTCTAGGCTATTTTTGTTTCTATTTTTAGACTGAGATGACCTTTATTGTCATTCAATACAAACATTTTCTTTCACTTTGTTGAATGGCTATAACAACTTCTCTCTCTCTTCCTCCTACTCTTTTTCTCCCTCCCCTTCCTCTTCAGGGTCTCAGTCTGTAGTGGCTGACCTTGACTTAATTCTAACATATGAACTTAGTTTATAGAGATCCTTTTTTCTATAGAATTTATTTTTCTGGTCTTAAACAGTTTGGGTTTCCATTCTAGACACCATGACTAACGTGTTTTACAGCTTGATGTACTTATTTTGTTACACTCCTCTGTAGCGTATGCATTAAAAAAAAAAAAAATTGGCTGGTTACTTCTTGAATCCCAGCATTTGCAAGGCAGAGGCAGGTGGATTTCTGTGAGTTTGAGGACAAAGAGCTCCAGAACATCCAGGGCTACATATAGAGACTCTGACTCAACACTCTCACACATACAAATACATTTATTGTATTTTATTTCATATTTATATGCATGTGCCTGTTTGTCTATATGTGCACCAAGTGAGTGAAGATGCCTAAGGAGGCCAGAAACTACCCTGAGCCCTCTGCAGTAGCAGCAAGTGCTTACAACCAATGAGCTCTTAAGAGTATTAATTTGGGGGATTGCTCTAAGCATGCCATTACATTTCATTAAATCCAATCTGCAAACTCTTGTTGCTGGTGCAGGAGATCAAGTCATGGCTCAGTTCTTTCTTCTTTAGCTGGATTGTCTGGACTCTCTCATGTGCACGTGGGTCAAGATCAGACAGCTTACACAGAGATTATGTCACAGAAAGATTTTAATTTCTAGTTATTGAGAAAGACTTAAATTATCTTCTCTCACTCTTCTCAATCAGTGAGGTCCCAACTTCAGCCTATTTTTCTGGTTAAAAGTAGTAAAAATAGATTGAATTTACTTGTTCAAATATATTCTATGCTTTCTTATAAATGTTAGCTCTTTCAGAATCTGGCTGTTTTTGTATGTTCTACACTGCCTTCAGAGCTTTTTAAGTATAGTCACGTGCAAGATGGCTGAGTCTAACAGGCCTACCTGATTATATATAAAAAATAGAACAACAAAACCAATGTGACTTTATTTATTTTATTTATTTAGAGACAGGGTTTTTCTGTGTAGCCCTGGCTGTCCTGGACTCTCTTTGTAGACCAGGCTGGCTCTAAACTCACAGTAATCTGCCTCCGTCTGCCTCTTGCTGGGATTAAAGGTGCGCACCACCACACCCAGATTTATTATTTTTTAAGGATTTACTTATTCATGTAATTTATGTATATGAGTGTTCTGTCTTCATGCATATTAGATTCCTTTACAGATATTTGTGAGCCACCATATGATTGTTGGAAATTGGACTCAGTACCTCTGGAAGAACAATCAAGTGCTCTTACCATTGAGCCATCTCTCCAGATCCATGACTTTATTTTAATTTTTTAATCTAAAGATTTTATTTCTAATTATGTGTATGTGTGTGGGGATGTCATGTACACAATGTACAAGAAGTTGATGCATTTTATCAAAATTGTTTACATCTTTAAAGATTTGGTCATAAAATAACTGCTAAGGTTTTTAATTTTGAAATTTGTAAAGAATAACCTTTAAGCTTCTAACTATGTCAATCTGGCTTAACTACCATCTAAAAATATTTACCAATAACATAATTTGGTCAATAAGAAATATCCTCAGCTTACACAGCTCTTTTAATCTCCCATTCTAGATGAAATAGTTCAGCTGGGAATTACTATTAATTACTATTTACAAAGCTCTTTACTTATTATAACACTATAAAACATAGCAAAATAACTACCATCACCCTATTACTAAAGAGAGATGATGAACCAGTTAGGCTTGTTGTCTAAGGTCATATTAAAGGCTGAAAAATGCCAGAATTAGACAGGAGGCTTTATGGCCTAATTTCAAAATGCCTCATCTCTCAAAAGTAACTACCTATGAAAGCCACTGCAACCCAGGAAAAAATGTAAAAGATACCGATGTATCACTGGAACAGTAATCTACTCCAAGGTTGGCTGTGTGTAGAGCTTTAACTATCCTTTACCCTTACTTAAACTTTCTGTGGCAGTTTGAATGAGAATGCCCCCCATAGAAAAATATATTCAAATACTTGGTTCCTAGTTGGTAGAACTGTTTTGGTAAGGACTAACAGGTACTGTTGGAGGAGGTATATCACTGGGAGTAGGCTTTGAAGTTTCAAAACCCCATGCCATCCCAGTTGGTTTTCTGGTTCCTGATTGTGCAAGCTCTCAGCTACTGCTCCAGAGCAATGCCTCTCTGCCTGCTGCTGTTTCCTACCACGAGAGTCATGGATTCATATTCTGTGAAACAATAAACAAGCACTCCTTTACTTTTTCTTTTTTCCTTTTTTTGGTTTTTGTTGTTTTTTTTGAGGCTGGGTTTCTCTGCATAGACCTGGCTGTCCTAGAACTCCCTCTGTAGACCAGGCTGGCCTTGAGCTCAAAGATCTATCTTTCTCTGCATTCTAAGTGGTAAGCAAGCTCTTATTTTTTATTTTATTTTATTTTATTTTATTTTATTTTATTTTATTTAAGTTTATTTACTTTACGTCCCAAGGGTCTCCCCCTCCCCCAAACAAGCCCTTCTTAACTGCTTTCTTTTGTATGTTGCCTTGGTCACAGTGTCTCTTCATAGCAATAAAAGGTAACTTATACACTCTGCAAAGTCAGCTTCTAGGAAAGGAATCATTTCAAATAAACAAGAGTCAAATAAATCACAGGCAAGAAGGACTTCTGGTATTGTCAAATGTTCTGTTGTCAAAACAGAGGGGTGGAGGTGATGTTGGGTTGGGGAGTGGTGCATGCCTTTAATTTGGGAGGAAGAGGCTGAGGCAGGTGGATCTCTGTGAGTTTGAGGATAGCCTGGTCTACAGAGTAAGTTCCAGAACAGTCAGAACTACACAGAGAAACTCTACCTCAAAACAAAACATTCTGCTGTCTGAAGACTATTCAGTAGGTCCTAAGTATAAGAATGAATGAGTTTCTCTTAAGTATTATTCCAAAGAGCACTATAATAATGGTCACCTACTTTCAGAGCATAAACCCTCCGTGGAATACAGTAAATTAATTAAAAGTTACATTTACTAAGTTTCCCTGCAGGAATTCTTTTATCTTTGATAACTAATTAAAATGTACAAGCTCCCTATTTAAAAAAAAAAAAAAATCCAAGTGTCCATCAATGTTAACTATCATGGAGATTTAAAAAAATTGAACTTTGAAAACAAATAAAAACACAGACTGGGCCTGTAATCCCAGCGCTTGAGGCTGAAGCAGGAGGACTGTGAGTTCAACAACAGCCTGGGCTACATAGTAAGTTCCAGGCCATCTTGGGTAACCCTGTATCAAAACAAACAACAAAATCACAAAACAATAAATAAATAAGAATGTGGTGATATTCTTAAATATAGTAGCCACTCTTAGAGGCCATCTATAAAGAAAGAATGACCTTAAAACAGAACAGAAACTGAAAACTCAGGAGGTTAGTGTTACCAAGTAAATAGTCTGTGGCTTTGGGAAAATACGAGTACAGAGAAACCAAGTTAGGCTGTCACTAAATGTGTGTGGGGAAATCTGTTTTTACTTACAGGGTATAAAGCAAAATAAAAACATGGTAGTCTGATAATCACAGCAGCATTAGCCACATGCACAGTTTTTGGAGTAAATGGTTACCTGGGAAGTCACTTAGAAGTCTTGCTAGGGCATGCTTGTTAACCATTTCAGTCTTGCCGGATATAGGATCTATTCTAGTGTCTTTGATGACAGTAAGCTTTTTGGAAATCCCAAGATCAGATCCAGTCTTGACATCTGTGTGTTCTAGGATGTCAGGTGAACCCTGTGGCCAAGACTGTGGAGCAAAGGCTTGCTTGATTTTTCCTTCAGCCTGCACTTGCTCAGCCTGCCTTTCCCCTAATTCTTTAATGGCCTTGATGGTGAGCTGCTCTTGCTCTAAGTCGGAAGGTACCATGGGGGCACCTCCATTTGTTTCTCTGCTGTGTTCACTGTATTTGCTTTTCATGTCTTTAGTTTCTGAACCGCCTAACTCACTTTCATGCAAGAGTTCCATAGGCAAAGTGTTTTTAAAATCTGCTCTCTTCTCTAACATTGCTTCCAAGCTTTCACCTTCCTCCTTATCTTCTATCCCCTTCTCCCTGGCTCCTGTGAGGGCAGCCATCAAGTACTCTGGGGAGGAACCAACTGTATCTTCAAAATATTTTCCAGGCAAAGATTCCAACTTGGCAGAAGCTGCCACAGTTAATGACAATCCTGTCTCACTAACAACACTTGGAGGTGCTGCTGAGGGAACTTTGGAGTTGTCAGTCACAGCAGGCTTTTCAGGTACAACTTCATTCAGAGTATCAGGTACTTGTAAACACACCTTCTCACCTTCTACACTTGTTCTCTTAGTAGTATTTTCTGGCTGGGCCTGATGCAGCTTCAAAGCACTGCTTGGCTCCTCAAAGTTTTCACTCATTTCACTCCTAGAAGCACTGCTTGGCTCTTCAGAGTTGTCACTCATTTCACTCCTCACAGTTTCACAACTGGGAGTCTCTTTGATTCCTCCTTCACTTGTTTTTGCAGTAGCACTTGGAAGGGAGTCAGGTTTTTCAGGTAAACCTTTGCTGTTCTCAGATGATGGGTTTGCTGTGATGTCTTCTATGACTGTGTCATCAGACTCCCCAGAACTATCAATTTCTGTGACTTCCCCCAGCATGGAGTTAGGCCAGGCATCCCTCTGATCAGGTAAAGCCACTTCTACTATGGCTACTCCAGAGCCTGAGACCCATTTCTCAGGCACAGAGCCAGGCAGCTCTGGAGGAGGTTGCGAACTGCCTGGCACACCTCTACTGCTGGCTTCTTCTGTGGAACTGAGATAGTCTCTTACAGGTTTTCCTTCTGTAAACACTTCTGCCCCATCACCTGTGGATGTCATGACAGGAGTGCTCCCATTAAGAGAACATATAGGCGTTTTCTGATGGGTGTTCATTTTAAGATTTATAACTGGAATTTCTGAGCGATGTTCATTCCTGTCTAGTCCTGTACTTTTTGTGGTGCAAGAAGACGATTTATCAGCTTGTTGTTTGGCTTGGGGAACTAAGTCCCAAGTCAGTATTTCATTAGTAAAGTTATGCATATCATTCACACATCTAGACACCTCTTCCAGTGCTGCCGTAGTGTGTGAAAACTGTCTACTGAGCAGTGCAGAGGCTGGGTAACGCCCTGCCTCTTTATTTCTTAGTGGAAACACTTTGTCATTCATTTCCAACAAATCTGCAGGGGATTCTCTATCACCATGAGCTGCCCAGCCACACAAATCATTTGTATTTTCCTTATACAAATCTTTAAATTCTCTGTCAAACGTTGCTTTGTCAATAATTACTTCAAATGGTGACTCAGGAGAATCTTTTTCTACACTAGCTCCTGGAAGTTCAGATGGGGACAAGGGATATGTACACATGCGTTCTGCCTTAGACTGCCCAAGATCCAATGAACTTCTGTCCTCTCCACTTGGAGCCTTGTTTGGGTTCTTGGGTTCTTGGTCTTTAGCTATACAATCTTCTGCTGGACCGGTTTCCTTTGAGAGAAAAGCAGGCTTCTCTGGGAAACTGTCTGGAATGGAAGGGCGGTTGCAAGGAATGTCAGCTGTAAGAGAAACTGAAGCGTCTACTCCGTCCTTGTTGGTTTCCTGAGACTTGTCCAGCTTTTCCTTATCTAGAACCAAGTGGTCTTTTCCTTCTTTAGCTAGAACAAGCTGGCTGCCTAATATTTTACTTTTTTCTCCAAGCAGTGTTGTAAGGTCAGGGTTATGTATTTCAGAAGATGAAAGAAAGGAAGAAGTCATAATTTCTGAAGGTGGCTCATCAGAGCAAAGAGAGTTCAATCCTGCTATGGTCGGAATTTGAAAGAAAAAGATCATTTACCAGGTACAAGCACACATGAGCTAATTAGGCAAAGCAGCATGCTTTCTATTTTTAAATCACACACACACACACACACACACACACACACACACACACACAATGCTTATAAACAAATGAACAGACACACAAGTACATAACAAAACAAAGATCAGTGGTTGTCTTACAAAACATGCATAAAAACTGCCAACAGTAAAACAAAAGCCAATTATCATGCTACAAATTGCAAGTGACAAAATATTTTCAGGACAATACTTTTTAAGTGGTCTACTTTTTGCCCCCTGAAAAATAAGGTGGTGATGGTACTTGGAGATTTGAGTTTTCCTTTCCTCTTTTTTAGGGTGAGGGGAGGGTGAGATGGGAAGTGGATGGTGGAGTTATTCAATAGGAGCTACATAATCTATACAAAATGGCCTGCTGTTATGACATGCTGCTATGCCTTCCTTTGTAAGCCGAACAATTCAGAACACACTGGCTCTACAGATCCCCTGTTACAGTCTTCACAATCTGAGAAGGAAAAGAAAGCTGCTTGGCTCAAGTTGTTCTTGATCGAAAGAGGTAGATCTTTCCTGAGCCTGAAAAATCAGACTAAAACATTCCATTCCACACTTCAAGAAAGGGAGACAAACTGCCTGATATTCTAGAGTGTTGAAAAGTGTGGACTGCTCTCAAATCTCCTGTGTAGCTGGCCATTTTAACCCTATCACACATGTAGCACAGTAAGAGTCACCGTGAGCTTCAGAGGAGGCTCTGGAATTAGACTTCTGGACAGTGCTGGACCTGTTAAGGCTGTGGGGATTATGGAGATAGTCACAACCCTGCAGCTGGCCAGGTGTGCAGTGTTATAGTGATACACTAAGTTGTAAACTGACAAGGCTGGACTTGTGGTAGTTTTTGTCACTCTGACAGACTTTAGAATCACCTCAATGACGTGTCTGTGAGGACGCTTTACAAGGAGTACCTGAGGGGTGAAGATCTGCCCTGAGTCATCCCACGCCTAGACTAGAATAAACAAGAAATCCGGTGATCAGCTGAGTGTCAGCACCCCGTTCTCTACTTCCTGACTAGTGAACACTCTGAACTCATAAGCCAAAATTGAATATATCTTCCTATAAAAAACAATGAATGGTATGAGCTGGTTTCTTTTGTTGACATTAAACAGAATTCTTTTAAAAACAGGAGTGATGTATTAAGTCTTAGTGATTATTAATTCCACAGCAGTCATCCAGTCACTACAATATTCTCTTTCTAATCTAAGGAAAAATGAAAATAATCATCCCAAGAGAAGGCTGCTACATCTCTGGGGCTGAAACAAAGCAGAGCCTAAAATATTTCTAAGTAATTGAATCAAAGGCACAACTTGGTCAGGTGAGGTCTAAGTTAGGCTCAGAATAGCAATGCCTTGAGCGTGAATGAATAATTAGAAAAACATGAATGAAAAATTCTTTTGAGATTGTCTCTTCATGTAGCCTAAATTCTCTTCTAGTTATATCAGAAGAAAATTTATGCCATCATGCAAATTTATTGAAAAGTAAAATAAGAATTAAGCATTTTAGTTCAATAAACAAAATCACACTATTCTAGGATGCAAATACCATATAAAGCGTCTCATTAGCTGGGAGTGATGCATGCCTATACTACACTTCTGGTGTGTGGAGTTACTAGGAATCGAATGCAAGGACTTCATATATGCCAAGTATGGGCTCAATAAACTGAGTCACACTTATACCTCCTTATTAAAGAGTCTGACACTGACTCTCTCTCTCTCTCTCTCATGCTCCCTAATAATGATTTCATAACTCACAATCTGGACTACACAGTGTTTTGTAAACACTGTGAAATGTAAACAGAACAATGCCTTGTTCATTCTTTGGTGAGCATGAGATATAGATACTAGCCCTCATTACTGTCAGATTTTCCCACATGTAGCTAAAGAAGGTAACATCTTTATTTGTGTTTTAATTTTAATGATCTCCATTAGAATTTTGGCAAATGAAAAAAAATTCCGCCTAATTGTAACCGTAACAAACTTGGCCAGAGCTGGTATGTACTGACACAATGAAAAAAATTGGACCAGAAGTAAAAGGTTTATATTATGAAAACATTAAGCAAGCCTTTTGCAACAACTCTAAATGAAAACTCTCCAATCAGTAGACAGCATGGCACTGAAGAGACATTAGTTTTGTACAAATCAGCACCTTACAACACAGTAGAAAACTCCAGAGAACCTGAAAGTTGTTATCAATTAAAATACTACATGCGGGTCTGGAGAGATGATTCAGCGGATAAGAGCACTGTCTGCTCTTCCAAAGGTCCTGAGTTCAATTCCCAGCAACTACATGGTGGCTCACAACCATCTATAATGAGATCTGTTGTCCTCTTTGCTGGCAGAATACTGTATAAATAATAAATAAATGTCTTTAAAAAAATACCCACTACATGACTTACTGATCGGTTTTGGGTTATTGATAAGGGGAAAGAAGGAGGGAGGGTGGGACTGGGAGGAGTTGAGGGAGGGGGTTTCAACTGGGATATATAATGAATAAATTGTAAAATAAAATTTGTGAGAAATAAAAAAAGAATTCTACTAGCTATCTTTTTTCAAACACACAGCCCATGCTGTCTCATGCCTTTGAGGTCAGCATCCAGGAGGCAGAGGCAGGCAGATCTCTTTGAGTTCCAGGACAGTCAGGGCTACACAGTTACCCTGTCTCAAAAAAAAAAAAAAACAAAAACAAAACAAATACCTTGAAATGTTTCCCATACACTTAAATCTCCATGCAAAAAAAAAAAAAAAAAAAAAAAAAATCTCATGAGTAGGGTATGGTGCATACATTTGTGGGTATGATCCCATACTTGGGAGGTGTAAGATAGTAAGCAAGCACTTGGGAGCAATAAGATTAGGAGGTGACATCAGCATATGTTATATGATATCTTGTCTCAAAACAAACAATAACAAAAACACTACCACCACCACCAAACAAACCTTGTAAATGGGGGCTAGAAAGATGGCTCTGTGGCTAACAGCAATTTGTTGGCAGAGCACCCACATGGTAGCCATCTAAAATAACCAATTTTAGGAGATCAATCCAATGCCCTTTCTGTCCTTGGACATCAGTCACACATACAAACAAAACATCCACACACATTAAACATGGTGGCAGAAACCTTTAATCCCAGCACTAGAGAAACAAAGGTAGGTAGATCTCTGTGAGTTCAAGGCCAGCCTAGTTTACATAGTTAATTCCAGGCAAGCTAGGGTGACATAAATGAGACTGTCTCAAATAAAATAAAATAATAAAATAAAATCATTGCAAGCAGTTTCTAAATTAGTTTTTTCCAACACTGGGCTTCCATGTCCACATTCATTTAAAGGTTTTTCTATGTAGTCCTCGAACTCACTCCGTAGAAGGCTTCTTTCTCCACTGATAGCACATTATATCACTAATAACAGGAATATAGTCAAAGTTTTCTTTTGCTTTCATGGTTTTAACGTCAACTTCAATATTCCATCCTTTAAAAAGTTTCTAAGTCTTAATAAATAAGACTTAGATCATCTGTATTACAGGAGCAGCAGTTATAAGCAGGGACTTTGGAGTCTTTGGTCTGTGTGACCCTGAGTCAGGCTGGCCTCTGACTCCTGAATGCTGGGACTAAATGCTACCACTGCCTGGCTTTAGGAATTTTTTCTTTAAAACCTCCTTTGAGACAGGGTCTCTCACTCTACATAGCCCTGGCTGGCCTGTAACTCACTATATAGATATGACTGGTCTTGAATTAACAAAGACTCTACGTCCTGAGTGCTAGGATTAAAGTGTACCATCATGCATTTCTGGAGCTGCATCTTTCATTCACTAACTCAGAATTTCCAAGGACAGAGCTCAAGGGTCTGTCCTCTAGTTCCCCTGGCACATCTAGTTCACCAAATTTTAGCAGGCAGAATGATCAGAGCTGCATTTCAGAGCTTCAGTCCTATAAGTCACAGGTGGTGGCCATTCTCTTCACTGTTCATCATTTTGTCCAGGAGAACAATGACACAGTAGAAAGAGGAGCAGGAGCAGATCTTCTTTGTCTACTTTATCCCATAGGGCTGCGGTAGAGTTCCGGGTCCAAGTCCCTCAATCACACAAAACTAAACCAAACCATGGGCTGGAGAGATGACACTGGCTGCTCTTCCAGAGGACATGGGTTCAATTCAGCACCCACATGGAGGCTCATAATTGTCTGTAACTCCTGATCCAGGGGACCCAACACTCTTATCTGACATACATGCAGGAAAACCACCAATGTACATAAATAAAAATAAATTAGTTTAACAAACAAATAATAAAAACCCTAAATAAACCAAAGCAGGCCAATTCAAAGCCTATTTTTGAAAACACAATAACACTAAATTTGAGTGAAGGCAGAGCTCAACTTGACTAGAAAATCTGACATGAAAACTGATTGAAGAGTGTTTTCTAGAATTAGAAATTATTTCTAGAATTAGAAAATATTCTAGAATTATAATATTTTGTGAGGATTAAAAAGTGACACAATTAAAAACAACTTCAAGAGAATCCAACCTACACTTCAAATGAATATATTTGAATTGTAAAATCCCTTATAGCTTACCCTATTCTTAAAAATATCTTCTCTAGAGTTTTCCACCCAAACCCTCTTTTAGAAAGAGTAAAAGTTTACTACTTCTCTATGCAAATATTCCTACCTTAATCACGGCAAACATGTGATCTAAACCTGAGAATCATGCTAGCTCAACTGTTAAGTTCTTCCTAAAAAAGAAGGAATAGCTTAGACTAATGTTATGATTACCACTTACTTAATTCCCTTTTTACTTAGGAATTCTATTGTTTTAGTTAAAGGGATATTCTCAACAAGGAAAACTACACACATCAGCAAAGGGGTACCAGCCTGTAGAAGCCACTAATTAGTTCACAGAAATAGTATGTATAGCAACACAAAGGAAGCTTAGAATATTCAGGTGTAGGATTTCCTACACTTGAATTTTCTTATGTTCACAGAACAAGAAGGCAAGACACATCGTGCACAACAGTACCAGCAACTTTCAGCCATTGCATCCAAATAGGAAGTTAGTCAGCAGACAACTTTGCAGCCAAGCAAGGTCCTAAACAAAGTCTCTTTCTTTTGTACAAAGAAAAATGTTTTGCTTAATTTTTTTTTCTTAAGAAAAAGGCTGTAACTGGCAAAATGTTTTTCTCAATGCTTGCCCCAAAGTTCAGTGTTGTAACTTCCTATTCCAGACACCCACTGCATCAGTCAAACTGAGCACAAATGCCATGATGCAGCCCCACTTCCAACCCTCAATTGTGGATGAAGCTTCTCTTTTTATCTATTAAAAAAAAAAAAAGTATTTTCCAGACTCCACTCTTTTCAAACCCAAAACCAAATGTCCATTTGATTTTGTGTTTAATGGGAGGCTTCTTTCTCCAATGATAGCACAGTATATCACCAATAACAGGAATATAGTCAAAGTTCTACCTCTTTTGCTTTCATAGTTTTAACATCAACTTCAATATTCCATCCTTTAAAAAGTTTCTAAGTCCTAAATAAAGCTGCTTATTTGATCATCTGTATCACAGGAGCAGCAGTTATAAGCAGGGACTTTGGAGCCTTTGGACTGTGTGACCCTGAGCCAGCCTGCTCCACTGAGCTAGTGCCTTTTCTCCACCACTGGCTGTGAGAATTATGGATTTATATCACATAATAGGTATGGTAAAAGCTCACTAAAATTTACCCACATACACTATGTTTATATGTGTCTTACATAGGAAGACAGCATTTTTAAATTCACTCAATTCTGAAATGCTTAGAAAGTGCCTGAAGTTTAGCTCTGCTTGATGGAAAAAAAGACCTCAGATGCAGAAGACTGCAAAGGTCTACAACAGAGCACAGTTAATTAAGGATTCCACTGATATATTAACTATATTTATTAAAAAGCTTGGCTTCTTAGCTTATGTAACATGTCTGCCATAAAAGTTAGTAAATATAATTTATTTTGGAAAAGTATGACGTTTACGCAATCTAAATTAATGACATCTTATTTTTTCTTTTTTGATACATGCACCTCCCTGCAACCTGATGATAGTAAACAGATAACCTATATTTCAGTATTAAGAATATAAGACAATTTTTGTTGTGCTGAGGACAGAATCAGGTCCTTCTATATGGCAAGGTAAAATCACAACCACTGAGTTCCAGTCTTAGCCCACAGATCATCCTTAAATCTAAAACTGACCTATTTATTGCTACGCATTGTGTGATATGACTTGGATAGATAAAAGTAGTATGTTTGCCCCCAGACTAGAGGGTTAAGGGGTACAGATTAGTTGGATTAGTGACAATTAATGACTGAAGATTCCTGCTAGTGGCAACACTCAAAAAGGCCTCTGTGAGATAGGACTAATTCTAGTCCCAGGATTTTAATTGATAACAAAATATACCAAAGTCCTCTCCTTATTTCTAAAATCAGACTAGAAGCTTCCAGTGCTGGCTACTCTACAGTACAACTGATCATCTGCCATGTGTTTCTTCACACAATGAACAGGCTGACTTCCAGACTAGCTGGCAGAGCTCCCCTCAACTGACTTTTAAATGCCAGTTTGTTGTTTGCAAGGGAAATGCTACTAAAGGGGCAGGGTTAGAACCGTCAGGGATAGAGCAGCACTAACTGCCTCTATAGTAAGACAATTCTGAATCTGCATGAGTCAAAATGCTTTGGTAAGTAAAAAGCAAGAATGATCAACATGCTCTTAGGAAGACTAGAGTGTACTGTAACACTACTGTAAAAAGAGGTTTCCATCCCTTTATTTCAGTATGGTATTGTGTTCCTAACACTGTTTATTAGTGACTGCTATGGGTTACATATCTCACTATCTAGGATATCAACTATTGTGTGAAAAGTGACTCCAATATAGAATGTATTTTTCAAAGTCTGAAATATTTACAACTAAAGAAAAGTTATTTGCTTTAATATAGTATTTTTCTTCCAGAGTAGAATAAGATAGCAGAATTATGATCCTGCTATTTTATTATCTTAAAATCATATAATTAAAGATACTATAAAGGAGTTAGAGGTGCTAATGCTATCAATCTGAATGAAACCATTTCATAAAGTTTTTAGTGTTTTTTTTAATTTTAAAAAAGATTTCTACTTATTTTATGGGCATGAGTGGTTTGTGTGTGTGTGTGTGTGTGTACACTTCATGCCTGTGGGGACACAAGTCATTATTGGATTCCCTCAAAATGGATTTATAGTTGTAAACTGTCACATGGGTACTGGGAACTGAACCCTCTTCCTCTGCAAGAGCAGCTAGTACCCTTAACCACTGAGCAATCTCTCTTTAGATTTTAATTTTTAATTCTTGCAGTGTTGGGTATCTAACTCAGGGCCTCATGTATATCAGGCAAATGCCCTAAATTGAGCTATATCCTTAGCGCTGTCTTTTTATTATTATATTTTTATTATTATAAGGTAAAAGTTGCTGAAAATCCCAGCTAGAACAATGAACACTTTCCATACAACTTCTGACTTTAATTATCCCCAACTCCACTCGCAACGCTCAGAGGCTGAACCCAGGGATTTGTGCATGGAAGGCAAATGTTTTATCACTTAGCTATAACAGACTTTTATAACATTTTATCTTTAAAAAGTAGGTTTTCCATTGACCTGTATTTGGGTTTAGTATCACAAAAGCATATAGCACTTTCAAATTCTTGGCAGGAACTGCAATACTGAGGAAACCTTCTCCAAATGGTTGATAATTTTTTGTTTTGTGACTGGGTTGGTCTTGCTGTGCAATACTGGCCGGCTTGGAACTTAGAGGTGATCCTCCTGCCTCTGCCTTCATAATGCTGGGATTATAGGTGTACACCCGAATTTTTTTTTTTTTTTAAGTCAGAGCTTAATCTCTAAGGATGAGGAGTTTTAATTGCTACAAATCGACTGACTTGTTCAATATTTCTAAGGATCTAAAAGCAGCCTAGCTGCTGGGATAAATTTCAGACAGATTTACATTAAATTCCTATAGCTAGGCTGCTATTTTATAGGTAACTGAAAGCATATTTTCATACTGCTTTCTGAAGCCACTGCCCCTCATATCAGTTATGTAAGTTTAAATTAACAGGTTAAGTGCATGCTGGGATTGAGAAGTCCCAAACCCTACATGCAAGCTTTAATGTTTTAAAGATTTATTTTATTTTAAATTGTTGGGGGGGGGGTGAGTATGTCCATGTAGAATTCAGTGCCTGTGGAGGCCTGAATGGGGTACTGATCCCAAAGCTAGAAATACAGTAAGTGACCCAACATAAGTGCTGTTAATTAAACTAAGGGCCTCTGGGAAAACAGCAAGAGCTCTTAACTGCTGAGTTATCAATCCCAATGCAACACACTTTTAACAGTGTGTGTGTGTGTGTGTGTGTGTGTGTGTGTGTGTATGACAATTCACTCATGGAGATCAGAGGACAACCTATGGGAGTTGATTCTCTTCTGCCACGTAGTCCTGATGATTGGACTCAGGTTACTATGCCTGAGTGGCAGGTACCAAAACCTGCAGAGGCACCTCACTGGCCCAAGTTTTTAATTTTTAAGTAATAGTCAAAGCTACATCTAAAGCTTATGCTGTGTAAATGGTTCATTCAGCCTCATTAAAGTATAGTAATTTTCACGGGGACCTTCTGGCAACTCTTAAGAAGAAAAAGAACAGGCTAGGAATTAGTTTCCATTTTAAGAGATGTGGGGGCAATAAAGATTTCCACCTCATCCTCAGTTACAGCCTCTTTCTTAACATTTTTCTTTTTATCAATGTGCAAAAAAAAGTTATGAACTTGCCTTGTGAGGTCGAAAATATAGATACAGGCTGAGAGGAAGAGGAAGAAACAAAGGAATCTGAAAGAAAATATACAGAATGAAAATTTGACAACCCCACACAGGAATCTTAACTTTAACTTTGTTTTTCTGGAGGGTCAAACACTGTCATTTCATTGGGCTTATTAGCCAAGGGAAGACTTGAACTTTACTCCAATGACTGTTTTCACTCACCTGTCAGTGACACCTCATTTCACTTCCAGGATGCACTTCTAGAAATTCACCAAGTCAGTCTCTTTCAGACAAGCATTATCTCCTTCAGGAGGGAAAAGGAAGCCCTACCATTTCACAACAGCCACAACCTCAAGAGCAGATGCTCCCCTGCCACCCTCTGGCAAAATGGCTTCTAAGTACTAACAGCCAACTACATTTCCAACTACAGTTAGACGCATTAAGTCACTAGGATGAGCCCTTAAAAATATTTAACTGGCAGGGCGTGGTGGCACACGCCTGTGATCCCAGCATTCAGGGAGACTAAGGCAGGAGGATCTCTGTGAGTTCGAGGACAGCCTGGTCTACAGAGTGAGTTCTAGGACAGCTAAGGCTATACAGAGAAACCCTGTCTCGAAAAACTAAACAACAACAATTTAACTAGCAAAACCTGACCCTCAATTCACAATTCACTGGTCAAATAAGGCTAAATGAGTAATCTTTCATCTTTGAAAATCACATGCCTCCAATCTGTCTACATATATTAAAAAAAAATGTAGCATACACATAACATCCCTTTTTATCTGCTCCATAAACATACTCTTTAACTAAGTAGTCAGTGCTTCCAGGAATCCATCCTACAAAGTATGTATGCGTACAAAGATGTGTGTAAGGATATCCAGTAAGGGCACTGGTTTTAAGTACTAGAAATAATGTAAATGTCTACCAACAGATGACTAGTTAAAAACAACATCTAAATAATTAACCTGATGCCCTGACAGCCTGGGATACACTAGACTCTGGCACCTCTGCCTCTCTCTCACACACAGAGCTGTGAAAGGTGGCACACACCTTTAATTCTAGCACTCAAGAGGCAAAGGCAAAGGTAGGCAGGTTTTTGTGAGTTGAGGCCAGCCTGATCTATATAGAGTTCCAGGTCAGCAGTTACATAATGACACCCTGTTTCAAAAAAAAAAAAAGAAAGGGATAAAAAAAAGGAGGAAGAGGAGAAGTTGTTGCCTGGGATAGAAGGAAGATTTTGCTTTTTGACACCTAAGAAAACATAATCTTCTCAGCAAAAATAAAATACTAAAAAAAGTCTTGCTGGGTGGTGGTGCCACCTAACTTTAGGCACTTGAGAGGCAGGTGGATCTCTGAGTTTGAGGCCAGCCTGGTCTACAGAGCAAGTTCCAGGACAGCCAGGGCTACAGTGTAACTGAAGTTTTGGTTTCTTTAAAAACTCAGGCCCTGCAGACTATCAATGCAGATGCTGAGACTTACGGGCAACCTTTGGGTAGAGTGCAGGGAATCTTAGGAAAGAAGTAGGAAATAGTAAGATCTGGAGAGGACAGGAGCTCCACAAGGAGAGGAACAGAACCAAAAAATCCGAGCACAGGGGTCTTTCCTGAGACTCATACTCCAACCAAGGCCTATGCATGGAGATAACCTAAGACCCCTGCACAGATGTAGCCCAAGGCAGTTCAGTATCCAAGTGGGTTCCATTGTAATAGGAACAGAGACTGTCTCTGACATGAACTGATTGGCCTGCTCTTTAATTACCTGAGGGGGAAGCAGCATTACCAGGCCACAGAAGACAATGCAGCCACTCCTGATGAGACCTAATTGACTAGGATCAGAAGGAAGGAAAAGAAACTTCCCCTATCAGTTGACTTGGGGAGGGTCATGCATGCAGAGGGTGGAGAAAAGGAGGGATTGGGATGGGAGGAGGGAGGGAACCACAGGGGGGATACAAAGTGAATAAAGTGTAATAAACAAAGAATTAAAATTTAAAAATGAATTAATTAATTTAAAAAATGAACTTTCTATTAAAAAAAAAAGCAGACAACTCAGTTATAGGGCTGGTGAGATGGCTCAGAGCACTGGCTGCTCTTCCTAAGGTTCTCAGTTCAATTCCCAACAATCACAAAGCAGCTCACAATTTCCTGTAATGAGATCTGGTGCCCTTTACTGGCATGCAGGTATACATGCAGACAGAACATTGTATACATAATAAACAAATCTTTAAAACACACACACACACACACACACACACACACACACACACACACACACACA